AGGACTTAATAAGGCATGGGAACTGGCCATTCCCACCTGATTAAGTCACCTTGTAAGCTCAGTACTTCACCTAAGGGACAGGTAAAGTACTAGGCACACTGTGGCGCATAGAGTGAGACTTAATCACTCTCTCTTAATTGTCCACGTCTTACGACTAAGGCTGCTGTTTAGTAATTCATGAGGATTTTTGACAATTTTGCCTGTTCATAATTAGGAATAAGTAGGAACAGATCATTTTACATCTATATGGCCTGTTCACTTTTAAAAAGTTTTGTACCAGGTCATTTTTTGTAGACATCATTGGGAAGTCGTGGAGTAAAAAAAAAAGGGGGGGGCTTCAAGAAAAGCTGAGAACACTCAGTCTGGGAGAAGCCATCAGGGTTCCAGGAATTCCTGGCATTACTGTTTACGACTTTATTTAGTTATTTGCTTGTTTTAGAATTCTCCATTGAGAAATAATTCTAAGTGTTCAGAGCAAATTCTGGGTTTTCAAGAAATGTGACCAAGAGAGTGTGTAGTGGTCTGTGCCATCAGACACCCCCATGGGACAGATTTTGAATGATTGGAGCAAATTAAAATTACGTGGTATAATAATAAGTGCATTATTAAAAAAATCAAATTTGAACTCACTATAAGTTAGCAGATAATAAAATTTGGTAAAGAACAAAACTATCTGGCAATTAAATTCACTTAGTAGACCTAAGGAAAAATAAAATGGTCAAAAGTTCTGTATGCAGAAGCATTTTAAAAATTTATTTCACTACTTTGCAAACAAGATTATATCCTATAGAATATTAAATGCCAAACTACAGAAGCTTAACTCAGGACTAGGAATACCAAACTCCCAATTATAGAAAGCCTCTGAAATTCTTAGAAACTGAAACATTAAAAAAAAAAAAGGAAAAGAACTCCAAAATGAGCACCAGCCAGAGGAAAGGTAAACAAATTGGCAGTTGCCACTAAAAGCAAAGCTCCAGCCACCCAAAAGAGGCCTAATAAGGATAAACCTGCTAAGGGGAATGGTATCAGCTGCTATGAATGTGGTCAGTCTGGGCACCTAAAGCATAATTGTTCTTAATGGCCTAAGCCCCCAGGACCTTGTCCAATATCCGGACTAAAAAAGCCACTAAAAGAAATGGTGCGGCCTCTCTCTAAGGGGGGGGAAACACCTAGCTCGGTGATGGTGGCTGTTGACTGAAGGGGGAGGGGCACAGTATGCCATCCACCCAGAGAATCCTTGGGTCTATATAAATGTGGCTGGGGTCCAAATTAATTTCTTAATTAATACTGAGGCTAAGTTTCTAGCCCTTGTGCTCATACTGAACTTCTTTCTCTTAAAACCTGCTCTCTAGTGGGAGTTAAAGGTGTTCCAAAAACTAAATGTTTCACCTAACAGTTACTAAAAGGTGAATTCAAATTACAGCTGCAAAAGGTTATCTATGAATAAAAAGAAAAGCAAAAAGCAAAGGAAAAATATAAAAAGGTTGTTGGTATACAAATAAGGTTTTAGTAAGAAAAAAAAAGAAATATAAGAAAAAAGATATTTTTATCTAAGAGGAAATCTTATATGATACATTTCTGTCCTATAATAAAGTAAATAGTTATGAGAATTTTTTAAAAGGGGGTAAAAAAACAAAAATAAAATGGTATAAGCACGCCAAAAATGGTATAAGGAAAGTTTATAAAAAATATACATACAAAAGAAATTCTATAAACAATCTAGGCATAATAAAATCTTTCTGGATGCAAGTCTCCAAACATTTTTGAATTTCTCTTCAAATTTTATATAAAATTTACTTAAGTGTCTAGTTCAAATTATAGTCTAAAATAATCTGTCAGGCTACCATTACAGTCCAGAAATACAAAAGCTGGTACTTGTAATAAAGCCACAGAAATTAAAGTTTATCATTTAAGTTAATAACTTCGGGCCTTGTAGCTT